TTTTCCCTATCAGGTGGACGGTTAGAGCCAGTTGTTTTCGACGAATCCTTGAGAACTATGCAGTTCTTATGGAAGAGTGGGATATTTGCTTGTCCGAACGATTACAACCCGATGTGCGTGCAAGGATAATAGGATGTAAGACCTAAATGAAACGATTTGACTTTTTCTTTGGTTTGCATCTTGGAGGGCGGCTTCATTCCCACGTCGATAATCTATCTAAGGATCTTAAGGGTACTAAGGTGGCTGCTGTCAGTGGACAAGGCCTGACATTGGCATATCTAACAAAGGAGACGCTCAAAAAAATGCCCAGTGATCAAAGCTTGGACCATTTCTATGCTAATATTTCGCGCAAGAGCGAAGGCCTGCATGGTAAACCAACGTTTCCAGGAAAGCGATGCACTTTTGGCCAGACTGGAGGTTGGTGCTGGTGCACCAAGCTACCCCCAAACCGCCAAAGATCACTTTACAAGGGTCTATTATGAGACTGTTGATCTTATCGTTAGTGCTATCTATCAGGAAAGCTTCAGCTCCTACGCCCAGATGGAGACCCTCTTGGTTAAAGCTGCTAATGGTGACGACTATGAGGCAGAGTTCAAGTTTCTTGAAGCATCATACAGAGAAGATGTTGATACAGGGGCGCTACCTGGGCATGCAGCTAAGTATTTTGGAAGTTATGTTATAGGAGAAGATAGCATGTTTTCACGAAATCCTGTTGGCGGTGTCAAAGTTTCCAAAACTAAGGGAAAGCCCAAACTATCTTTAAGCTGCCTGCTGTAAATCCTGCCACCAGCGCTGCTGACGAGCATTCATTCTCATCTGCACGGCGTCTGAAGACGTGACTTCTAACCAGGATGGGTGACCAAGCAGTGTTGAATGATCACAAGCGGAGAATAGACAGTGTCTCTATAGCTACACAGGAGTTTGTTTCCTGCAATAAGAATCGCAAGAGAAGCTTCGGCACTTCGGGCAACTTCAAAAAGTAGCAACCTCAGAAGGTTTATTTAACATATTGGCTATATTGGATAGTATAACACGTGTGGACGTTTATATGTTTTAATTGTTGAGGTGGTAAATAAGATGGCGCGCAAATGCAAGATAAATGGCGAAACACCGACCTGAATGTTTCTTAATACTAGGCAGAGTTTTTAGCCCTACCACCTTAAAATGGTCTCCGCGGTCCCTGTTAACGAACTTTACATAACGAATTCCTCTGCTTAACGAACGATATTCTTGCCACAGAAATGTAAATGAACCTCGAGCGGAACCTCATAGAAAACTCCTCAGTACTATTGTTCAGAAAATATAGTTTAAGTGTGTGTTTAAAATGTAGTTTTAATATCGAATATGTTTCAAATACAGGGAAAACCTGCCAAAATTATATAAATAACATTCAAATAGATCTCAAATACATTTTCAGCTCCTGACTATTTTTGTTTTATTCGTAAAAAAATAATAAAAATACTCTAAATTGAGGTAAAAAATGTTTGAAAATCATTTAAATGTATTTTAACTACTTCTCAAACAGTTTATAAATACAACTGGTTTGGTAAGGGCGAACCTTTATATAACGAATTCCTCTGTTTAACGAACGATAGTCTCATTTTCACAGATACAGTTCAATATATGACAATGAACCTCGAGCGAAACCTCATTATCGAACATATTTTGCCAGTGTGTCCCTTGGGTCTTCTTTATTAAATGCAGCTAATCCATTTTATTCAGGTAAAGGACAAAATAAGAACAGTATGGAGTGTTTAATTCGATTAAGGCAAGGCTTTTTCATCAGATTTTCTGGCCTACATTATACTGTGTTTGTTCATTCTTTTTTTTCCTCATAAAGTGATCATACTGATGAGCGTTATCTATTACCCTGCGAGCACTGAGAATCTTCTTCAATTTATCTAGAAAGGAAGATGGAACTCAAGTGGAAATTCTCCGCATGTCTTTTCGTCTCATTGACTACTTGAGCGTTGTAAATATAATTGTCTCTATAAAACGCTAAGTCCAATATTTCGTATGTTCTTTCTGAAATGTTAATGTTGATATAAAGATAGAAACAATTAATGCACGGGTCAGAATGTAGAGACTACCTCATATAAATCCTTGACTGAGTCAGGATATGATTAAATTTTTCTTTCAAAATAGTTGACTCAAAAGTAGGTTGAGTTTGATCGTCCGGATGAACTTAGTCCTGAATAGGACTGTTGTTGTTGACAGTGACTGACGTTTCGGCAACCTGCGCGGTACAATGTAGTCATGAGTCAAAGTGAGTTGTATCACGTCAGTTGATGGTATTATACTCTTATTACTGGTCTGATTGGTCAATTACGTTGCGATGTTATTGGTCGCCTGTCAGGTAAGCCGTGATGTTATCGGCTATGAAGACTAGTAATCAGTAATTGGTGCGTTTCGACCCGTCTATTGTCACAGTTAAACAGTCGTCTATTGTTAGTCAAATTTCAGTTCTCCAGTAGTTCTCTCGTAGTTAGTTTTGCTTGATATCGTCAATAAGTCGTTTCACTGTCGTTTGGACGGCGCTGGTAACTCAGTGTTGGCTACGATTCACTCATGGCGTTTGTTCTAAGTTAGTAAACCAACTTTCTAAATTAAGACGTTGATAGTAGTCTGTAGAATACGTTATACATGTCGCAGAGTCCCAGTCAATTCGATGTTTCGTCTGTAAATGGTGCTCAGCAATGTGGTTGTTGACGTCACCATTCCTCGTCGCTCGTTTGTGTTCGGTCAGTCGCCTGCTTAGGTTTTGCATTTGTATGGCGTTTAGTCATGCGAGACCTCCACGAAACATCCACGCAGCGCGCGAGGTAACTTTATCCCGATTCTAAAAATAACTTGAGACGAATTACCTATGAAATAGGGTGTATATGGGGATGCCTTCTCTGTCCCCTTTATCCTCTCTTGCCAAGAGTCAAAGGTATGCGCCATTTACAGGGGCGGATCCAGGGGGAGGGTGCAGGGGGTGCACACCTCCCCCCCCCCCCCCCCCC